ACTTCTTGAACCCAGGTTTTTAAGAGGATAATTGTCATTTCTTGCTGGCAGATGTTTACCGTATATTTTTATTGCAGGCTACCATCCCAGGGTTCCAGTCTTGATGCCCAAGACTATTGCAATGTGCCATGACTTCCTACAGAAAAAACTATCTTTTCTCTTAAGAAAAAGTACTATTAGTGGGCATTTTACCAAAGAAAGATACCCAGATGTTTTTTCATAGTTGAGTATATGCTTAAGAACAATTGAACTAGTACTTTTTGGCTCAGTTTTTTAAACTGAAAATATACCCATTCTTATCTCTAGGGATTTTTCCCCCATTGAACGTATAACCCATTGCCATTGAGTTGATTCCAACTCATAGCAACCCTATAGGACAGAGTAGAACTGCCCCTTAGGATTTCCAAGGAGCAGCTGATAGATTCGAACAGCCAAATTGCTGACCTCTTGGTTAGCAGTTGAGCTCTTAACCACCGTGCCATGCCTTTACTCATAAGTAAATGCAGTAGGTTGGTGACAATGGCTAAATTTGTTCAATGATTATTTCTTATCATTGTTGTTGTTAGGTAGGTGCCATCGAGTTGGTTCTGACTCACAGCGACTCTATAGGACAGGGTACAACTGCTCCATAGGGTTCCCAAGGAGCAGCTCATGTATTTGAACTGCCCACCTTTTGGTTAGCAGCTAAGCTCTTAACCACCCTGCCCCCAGGGCTGCTTCTTACCATTAACCAAAAACCAAACCCATTGCCTTCAAGTCGATTCTGACTCATAGCAACCCTATAGGACTGAGTAGAACTGCTCCATAGGGTTTCCAAGGGGCGCCTGGTAGATTTAAAGTGCCGACCATTTGGTTAGCAGATGTAGTTTTTAACCACTGTGCCACCAGCGTTTCCTTTCTTATCGTTCAGGAACACTAAATTATTACCGTTTAACCGCACCAATGATCACAAAGATGGTATAGGACCAGGCAATGTTTCGTTCTGTTATTCGTAAGGTCGCCATGAGCTGGAGCTGATTCAATAGCAACTAACAACAACAACATGTTTAATGCTGAGTTTTTTTCAAGAAGTGTTTTTTGTGTAAAAATCATTGCTTTTAAACACACTCCTAACATGACTGTTTTTCCTTTTGCAGACGATACCAAAAATTGCAGAAGATCATGAAGCCTTGGTAAGAATATATGATCAATTGATATTGACATTTTAACACTTTTATTTTCTCTGCATAATTAAATCTTATCCTCTGACTGATTGTATATTTAGATATAACAGTTCATCTAGATACTTTGAGTGAGTGCATTTTTTTTTCTGCTGTTGGATATTCTTATAAACCGGTTCTTTAAAAAATCTATTTCCCTTTTCTTTTTGCTTTACAGTGGAAAGGGTATTTATGTTTGTAACCACTGCCATGATCACATCAGGATTGCTACCCTTCTCCTGGAGCAAGGCTAGGCATAATTTTATGTATTACTTTAAACAAAAACTTCTGTTTTTTGTGGCATATGTGATGTTCAAGGTCAAAGTCTTTGATTTTCTTCAATTACTCAGTGAGAAAAAGATCCACATTTAAAAAATAATACTCAGGATTGAAGTATGGAATGAAAATTATTTGTCTTGAGTCTGAGAAAGTGCTCAATCACCTATCTATTAGGTGAATTGCATGATAATTGTATCTGGTGGTCTGAAAATGTTATTTTTCAAACCCTGAGCAAAAATCTTGATCACCTCAAGTGTACTGTGGCATGATGCTAGTCTCCAATTACTCATCTTCTCCTATGCCACTCACTAAGAGAAACTATTAGTTGTAGGAACACTTCTGTTCATAAAATTCTGATAAACTAGAAAGCAATAATAAAAATTTCTAATAAAGCTTCTGTATATATAAATGTATATATTGAATATCTTAGAAACAGTCAACGATATTGACAGTAGAAGCCATCTTTTATGA